GCTTGACATGTCTTTGAAGCATGTAGTTTTGGCCCCCCAGACGATCACTGGCTTTACCTTTTTTGTTAGGAAAACTACTCTGAATCTACTGCAGCCTCAAGACGCCTCTTATTGCTTAACCTGTGCCACAATTTTGTATAAATTCAAATAGTTATTCGAAATCCCAAAGTGTACTAATTAAAGCATATGAATAGTAAAAAGCTTGTTCAGGTACACTAGACAAAGTCCAAGGTCAAGGTAGTAGACAATATGAAGTTTTTACAAGAGCAACCCAAGTCCATTGTAGCTCATCAATTGAGCCCTAAAGAGTCATGTGAAAACAATAACAAGATGAAAACAAACATGCTCAATTATGGTTTATCGAACATATTATAGAGTTCCGTTAGTTAAGGAACTAGCCTACCATATAGAAAAGAATTGATGAGTAAGACACTCTTAGAATTAGCAAGCAAAAATTTTTTCAATTAATAAATAAAGCATAATCATTACCTAATATTCAAATTGAATGATAGTTCAAAAGAAAATGACACAGCATGATTAAGTAAGAAAGAAGTGTGATCAAATTATCCCTTTCGCGCCTGTCCATCCAACGAACTGAACATGTTAAAATGATATTATAGGTATAAATATCTCGGTGAGAGGGAAAATGGGATGGGCTCTCTAGTAAAAGCAAGATGAGGGATTCCAAGCAAATTGCAACTGATTCTTAAATACACTGGCTTGCTTTCCTATAGTGCTGTAGAAATGGCTATGTCAATCTGTTAATGTGCATCATCCAAGTTATTCACAAGAGCCTATTTTAAACAAGTTAATTCCTGTATATAGAAACAGCCTTCACGGAAGGCTTACAAAACTCACACATGGGTGGGCTCCATGTAAATATTTTATTACAAATAAACCACCTCCTACTGTGTCTTATCTAGAGAGGTTTTGTGACCTTTCCTTCTATACATATAGTCTGCTTCAAGTAACTAAACACACGATGACGCCACGAGTGCGTGCATAGCCATCAGCTGTGTAACAATCCAAAAATTTAATATTTGAATCGTTATCAAAATTTTGAAATGGCAATTTACTCTAATTTGTAGAAAAAAAATTATTTTTTAATTCCTAAAAGGAAAAAAATTAATACTTTCCTACGCCATATCTTTAACATATAAGTTTGGAAAGATCACGTAAAATTAATCTGTAAAGTAAGAATTAAATGTAGAATCATTTTACACATGTGTAATAATTGCCATTTGACTTTCTCTATATTTACCGTATATATATAGGCAGAGGAGGATTCAATACATAGAATAAACAAAATTCCAAATTAAAGTTACATGCTTTTCTCTTTCTTCAAGGCTTGGCACACTGCTCCAAAAATGAGAGAATACTTCCAAAAGTTGCTTTACCTTATTAAAAATTCACACACCACATCACAAGCTATGAGACATATATTTAATGTATGAATATTAATCAACTATATTTAAAATCTTGAATTTACCGTATAGCATACTAAAAGAGACCATGAATGGGTGATGTGACAAGTGTGGAATCATTAATTTGACCATATATATTTTCATAAATTCTAGGAGGGTCACGTATATAAAATTAATCTAAGACAGTAGAATGTAACCAGTTACTTCTAAACAGTGAAATCATTAGAAAAAATAATATTTAATTCAAATTTTATCTAAACAGCAAACTACAAATATTCATCAACTAATAGACATGTACAAATCTATTATTATCATTATCCTAAAAAAAATGTCTACTGCAATAACTTAAAAGAAAATAAAATTTACGTGTTAAATTAAGTCTTTATCCAGCGGAACGAGGCACAACCACACCATCGAATCACCACACTCCGACACGACCCGATCTAACCTGTGAGGGTGTAAGAAAAAGGGATGAGTACATGGGAATACTTGGTAGGATATAAAATTTTATTGGCGCGATCCCGAATAATAATTTTAAACACGTGTCAGAATATCATACCATCTCATATCTTTAAAATCCGGTAAGAGCTCATATCATACCATATCACGGTACCGAAAATGGCCATATCATTCATATCATAGCATTTCATATCATAACTTTAACTTTTATAAGTACAGAATTCATCAACATGTAAGAAATAATAATTATACGGGACATAAAACACCGCACATTGATATCCTACCTTATTAGATCGTTTTAATTTTTGGAAGACAAAACCAAAGAAATCACGCTCCAAAAATCCTCATCGTCGCTTCAAGGATTTATATTGTTTGAAATTGACTTCCTATTTTAAATTCCAATACCACAGGTATAAGAATCTATAATTTTTTTTAAGGTATAAAGTAATATTCCTTTTACACTGCATAAAATATGAAGTCCGTAATTTACCTGATTTCAACACTCTTCTTTCTCTACAACCTTGTGCTTATGAATATGTCTTCTTTTGATATGCATCTATAAATATATCCCTCATGATCTAGTCTAACAAAGTGGGTGTGTAGTTGGGGAAACGTGTAGTAGTAGGATAGAAGTATGGATAAAATTGGGAAACGAAATTTTTGAAATAAAATAATTGACCAAATCTTGTCAACCAACTTTACCACTCAACAAGCAATACCTTTCCTACACGTGGCCAACCAAGTGAAACTAAAATCTATAAAGTATCTTTCTCTCCCTCTGTCTTCTTTTCTTTTGTGTGTGCGTGTGTGTGTGTGTCTATATATATATATATATCACCAATCATCAAAGAATTCTACACGTGACCTACCACAATTTTAGATGCATTAACTAATAAATTAAGATATAAGTTTAAAGCTAGATCTTTCAACCTCAACAACTCGTGCTCCACTAATCCAAATTAACTTTTTCTCGAGCCTAACATGTATGATAAATTATGATCTTTCCATCGGGCCCAATATTCATATACTTATCGTCACTCCGTCAACATCTACATTTTAACATCCGATAATATTGAAATTTACATTTTATATACTTTAGTCCCTAAACTTTCAAAATATTAAAATATAGTACACATAAATTAAATTCTAATCTATGAAACTTTGGGACATTACAATCTCCCCTCCTTAAAATATTTTCGTCCTCGAAAATTTACCTCAGTTAATCGAAGAGCTCTGGATACTTGATTTTAAGCTCCTCCTCCTTCTCCCAAGTTGACTCATCAAGTCCATGATTTTGCCATTGGACTTTGACTAAGGGAACTTTCTTGTTTCTAAGGTGATGGACTTTTCTATCCAAAATCATTGTTTAGATTTCTTCAGATGACATGTCTTTTTGTACCTCCAAAATTTGGTAACTTACCATGTGATTGGGATCGTGGACATATTTTCTGAGTATCGAAACATAAAACACATTATGCACTGCTGCTAGTTCAAGTGGTAAGGCATTTCTATAAGCCACACTACTAATCATTTCAAGAATTTTGAAAGGACCAATGAACCGCGATCTCAACTTTCCTCTCTTCCCAAATCTCAACACACCCTTCATTGGTGTTACCTTTAGAAAAATCTTGTCGCCCACTTGAAATTCTAAATTCTTTCTTCTACTATCAGCATAACTTTTCTGTCGGTCTTGTGCTGCTTTTATTCTTGCTCTAATCTTATCAACTGCCTCAACTGTTCGTTCAACTATTTCAGGACCCAAAATTCTATTCTCCCCAACCTCATCCCAATGGATAGGGGATCTGCAGTTCCTATCATAAAGAGTTTCATATGGGGCCATACCTATAGTGGCCTGAAAACTATTGTTGTAAGCAAACTCCACTAAAGGTAGGTGTGTCTCCTGACTTCCTCCAAGATCCAAAACACATGCTCTTAACATGTCTTCCAGAGTTTGAATGGTTCGTTCTGATTGTCCATCCGTCTGAGGATGATAAGCAGTGCTAAACTTCAGTTTCGTCCACATGGCTATCTGCAAACTTTTCCAAAATTTAGATGTGAACCTCGGGTCTCTATCTAAAACAATGGTGAGTAAAACTCCATGCAATCTGACTATCTCTGTGATGTATATCTGTGCGAGTTGTTACATGTTGAAGTTTACTTTGATTGGTAGAAAATGGGCTGATTTTGTCAAACGATCAACTACTATCCAAATAGCATTATGACCTCTAGTTCACATCGGGAGGCCTACTACAAAGTCCATTGTTATGTATTCTCATTTCCATTCTGGAATATCCAATGTTTTCAACAGTCCTGATGGCCTTTGATATTATGCCTTAACCTGCTGACAGACCATACATTTCTCCACGAATAGACCAATTCATATCTTCATGTTTCTCCACCAAAATGTATGTCAAAGATCTCGATACATTTTTGTACCGTCTGGATGTGCCGCATACGGGGTGGAGTGAGCTTCTTCCAATATCTCATTTCTTATACTTTCATCCTTAGGTACACACAATCTTCCTTTAAAATTCAATGCTTTACTAGCAGATACTTCAAATTCTATACGCTTGTTTGTACCAATCTCAGCCTTAATCTTTTGCAAAACTGGATCCCTATCCTTTGCTTTCTTAATTCGATCCCGTAGAGTGGGTCGAATCATAAATGTTCTTATTCTTGCTGTAGTCTGAGTTGGCAGTGTGATGACTTCCAATCTTAGTTTTTCAAAGTCCTTTATCAAGTGTTCCTGCACTGTGGGTAAAACTGCTAACTGCGATCCTGTCTTTCTGCTTAAAGCGTCTGCGACTACATTAGCCTTACCTAGATGGTAGTGAATTGTGCAATCATAATCTTTCACTAACTCCAACCATCTCCTCTGTCTCATATTCAGTTCCTTCTGTGTGAAAAAATATTTGAGATTCTTGTGGTCTGTATAAATTTCGTACTTCCCACCATAGAGATAATGACGCCCTATCTTTAAGGCGTGAATTACTGCTGCAAGCTCCAAGTCGTGAGTTGGATAGTTTTGCTCATACTGCTTCAACTGTCTCGAGGCATAAGTAACTACTTTTTCGTGTTGCATCAGTACATAGCCAAAACCTGTTTGGAGGCATCACTTTAAATCACAAATCCATCAGAGCCATCTGGTATCATCAATACAAGAGCTGAAACTAGTCTCTGCTTGAGTTCTTGAAAGCATTTTTCACATCTTTCTGTCCACTGAAACTTCACACCCTTTCTTGTCAACTGAGTCATCGGCCCTACTATTTTTAAGAAGTTTTCAATGAATCTTCTATAATAACCAGCCAATCCCAAGAAACTATGGACTTCACCCACACTGGTCGGCCTTGGCCAATTTGTTACTACTTCCACTTTAGCAAAATCCTCTTCGATTCCTTGGGCGGTAACCACGTGACCAAGAAAACCTACGCGATCTAGCTAAAATTCACACTTCTTGAATTTGGTATATAATTTCTCCTTCCTCAAAGTTTCGAGTACTATTCGAAGTTGATCGTCATGCTGCTTCTTATTCTTTGAGTACACAAGTATGTCGTCAATAAACACTATGACAAACTGATCTAAATACTGATGGAACACTCTGTTCATGAGATCCATAAATACAGCTGGAGCGTTGGTCAAACCAAAAGGCATGACAGTGAATTCATGGTGTCCATAACGAGTCCTAAAAGCAATCTTAGGTATATCGCTTGACCTGATTTTCAGCCGGTGATAGCCTGATCTCAAGTCTATCTTTGAAAATACTTTAGCACCCTTAACTAGTCAAATAAATCTTCTATTCTTGGCAACGAGTACTTATTTTTGATGGTTAGATGGTTCAATTCCCGGTAGTTAATGCACATCCTCATACTCCCATCCTTCTTCTTGACAAAAAGTACAGGCGCTCTTCAAGGAGAAACACTTGGTCGAATGAAACATTTCTCCAACAACTCCTCTATTGCAACTTTAATTCTTGAAGCTCTTTCGGTGCCATTCGATATGGGGCCTTGGATATGGTACTACTCCAGGAATCAAATCAATTGTAAATTTTACTTGCCTATCTTGTGGAATGCCCGATAAATCTTCTGGGAATACATCTGCAAAGTCTCGCACGATGTTAATATCGTTAACAGTCGTTTCTGTATGTTGGGAACTGTTGATATTAACCAGAAATCCTTGACATGACTCCTTTCTCAACATCCTTTCCGCTTGAATAGTTGATATAAGACGAGGTAAAGACTTGAATTGTACTCCAAAGAAATGGAATTCTTCCTCTCCCGGTCTGTGAAACAATACTTCTTTCTCGTGACATCGAATGGTCACATGATTAAGTCCCAACTAATCCATGCCTAAAATAACATTAAAATCTTTCATCTCCAGAAGGTATAAGTCTGGTTGTAATATTTTCCCGTCAATCTTTAACTTCATAGCCTTAGTCATCCGATTTGTACAAAGAATTCTTCCTGAAGGGATGCTAACCTCTAATTCATTATTCGTTTTCACACATACAAAGTTTGACCTAGCGGCGAAGGATGCAGAGATAAAAGAATTGGTAGCCCCAGAATCAAAAAGTACGTAAGCGGGTACATCAGATAATAACATAATACCTGTTTGTAATTATAGTCTTAGACTAGCAACTAAGGGACAGAGATAAAATAATGTATGGTCCTAGGTAAAAAGAGCATAAGCACGTATGTTGAAAATATTAATAATAAAGTACCTGCAATCACATTTGGATCCTGCTCCGCCTCATGCTGATTCAGTGCAAAAACTCGAGCTTTTGCTTTTTTATTCTTGTCTTGATCATCATCCTTCTTCTTTGGAGACTCTGTACAGTTGAGGGCAATGTGTCCCGGCTTACCACACCGAAAACACACGTTCTTCTCAAGTAAACATTCACCTCTGTGGAGTTGATTACACTTAGTGAAATATTCCCACTCGTCCCACCAATACAAACTCCTGTGCTTGACATTTTATTTTTCCAGTTACGTCTATTCTTGTTCTAATCACTCCACTTTCTTTTTCCCAACGACTCCCTACTCTGCTGGGCATACCGTCCAAATGTTGTTCTCTGATATAAAATAACATGGGCTCTCTCCAACATCTCACGATATGAGGTGAAACGATGGGACATAATGATCATGCCGTTCTCTAGGCGCAGTCCATTTTCAAACCTCCTAATCTTTTTAACTTCAGTATCCAATGAGTGCGGGGCATATCTTGAGAGCTGCTCAAACTACCTCTCATAATCAATAAGTGACATGTCTCCCTGCCTGAGCTGTAGAAACTCTGATTCCTTGAAGTCTCTCAAAGCCTGTGGGAAATATTTTTCCATCACTTCATCCTTAAACTGCTCCCAAGTCAAGTTACGTTGCTGCTCTTCCATCCTAGTTCGTGAGACAGATTCCCACCAGTGACTAGGTGCTCCAACAAACATAAATTCTGTGCTTAGCACTTTTCTGTGCATTCGTACAAGCGATGTGTCGAAAGATACGCTTCAGAGCTCTAATCCATTCCTTAACAGCCAGTGGGTCGGGACCACCCTAGAAAGTCGGAGGCTTGTACCTACGAAATTACTTAACCACTGAGACAGCTCCCGGGACAAATGGAGGTGCATTCTATGGTGGTGGCGGTGCTTGGCTTTGTCTGCTAAGCTCTTGTACTGCTCGTAGTAAATCGCACATCAAGTTCGTGTGAGCAGGTGGTGCCATTTCCTAGAATTTAATTTGAAGTTACAAGTCATATTCCAGTTGTACTTATTTTATCGTATGCATATCATAAATTTAACGAGAAAAATAATCTTAAAAATTTAAAGATATGCAATTTAAAATATTTAAATCATGCAAAATGTTTATGCACATTCATCTTCTTACCCCTTTTTGCATACCTTAGGGTCATCGGAGGTTGGTCGATTGGTGGTCGTTGAGTGCCAAAGATCATTCATGTATTTAATAACTTTAAATTATCATTATCGTTAAATTCATAAATCTTCAGAAAAAATATTAACCTTTAACAAATATTACGCAATGAAACAAATAAACATTTTATTACACGTAACATTTATCATCATCATCATCATCATTTATTATTATTATTATTGTTATTATTATTTTTCATGGGGAATTACATCGAAATTTTAGCTACTAGAAGATATCATATACTAGTGCATGGACTATTATAAAATTTCACCCATTTAAAAAAAAAAAATCTAGTAACTAAGTAATTTAGTGATTATTGTGGCTAAACATAAAATTTATTCTAAAAAATGTATTTCTAAAAAGTCTATAAATACATACATACATACATAAACTATTTAAACAATCATACTTTTTTTTTTAATTGTTCACGGTTTGAACAGTGACGTCATTGTTCACGTCAATTTTTTTTTTATATATATAAAGCCAAAATTATGAAAATACACATGGTCTACAAGAAATTAAACATACGCTTTGATATCAAACTGTAACGATCCAAAAATTTAAGATTTGAATCGTTATCAAAATTTTGAAATGGTAATTTACTCTAATTTGTAGAAAAAAAAATTTATTTATTAATTCCTAAAAGGAAAAAAAATTAATACTTTCCTACGCCATATCTTTAAAATATAAGTTTGGACAGATCACGTAGAATTAATTTGTAAAGTAAGAATTAAATGTAAAACCATTTTACACATGTGTAATAATTGCCATTTGACTCTCTCTATATTTACCATATATATATAGGCAAAGGAGGATTACATACATAGAATAAACAAAATTCCAAATTAAAGTTAACATGCTTTTCTCTTTCTTCAAAGCTTGGCACACTGCTCCAAAAATGAGAGAATACTTTCAAAAGTTGCTTTACTTTATTAAAAATTCACACACCACATCACAAGCTATGAGACATATATTTAAGAATTAATATATTTGTACATGGAGATTTACACTCCGGTTGACACGATCCCACCCGACCTCTCACATAGAAGAGGTTGGGGTCCACACCCAAATGTGTGGGGCCGACCTCTTCATGTGAGAGGAGAGGTGGGTCCATGTCAATCGGAGTGTAAGGCTCCATGTACGAGTAGCACAATCCTATATTTAATGTATGAATATTAATTAACTATATTTAAAATCTTGAATTTACCGTATAGCATACCAAAAGAAACCATGAATGGGTGATGTGACAAATGTGGAATCATTATTTTGACCATATACATTTTCATAAATTCTAGGAGGGTCACGTATATAAAATTAATCTAAGACAGTAGAATGTAACCAGTTACTTCTAAATAGTGAAATCATTAGAAGAAATAATATTTAATTCAAATTTTATCTAAACAGCATACTACACATGTTCATCTACTAATAGACATGTACGAATTTATTATTATCATTATCCTAAAAAAAATGCCTACTGCAATAACTTAAAAAAAGATAAAATTTGCGTGCTAAATTAAGTCTTTATCCAGCGAAATGAGGCACAACCACACCATCGAACCACCACGCTCCGACATGACCCGATTTAACCTGTGAAGTGTAAGAAAAAGGAGTGAGTACATGGGAATACTCAGTCCGAATAATAATTTTAAACACGTGTCAGAATATCATACCGTCTCATATCTTTAAAATCCGGTAAAAGCTCATATCATATCATGGTACCGAAAATGGTCATATCATTCATATCATAGCATTTCATATCATAACTTTAACTTTTATAAGTACAAAATTCATCAACGTGTAAAAAGTAATAATTAAATGGGACATAAAACACTACACCTTGATATCCTACATTATTGGATCGTTTTAAATTTTGGAAGACAAAACCAAAGAAATCACACTCCAAAAATCCTTATCGTCGCTTCAAGAATTTATATTGTTTGAAATTGACTTCCTATTTTAAATTCCAATACCACAGGTATAAGTGTTTATAAAAAAAAATTTAAGATATAAAGTAATATTCCTTTTACACTGCATAAAATATAAAGTCTGTAATTTACCTGATTTCAACACTCTTCTTTCTCTACGACCATGTGCTTATGAATATGTCTTCTTTTGATATGCATCTACAAATATATCTCTCATGATCTAGTCTAACAAAATGGGTGTGTAGTTGAGGAAACATGTAGTAGTAGAATAGGAGTATGGATAAAATTGGAAAACGAACTTTTTGAAATAAAATAATTCACCAAATATTGTCAACCAACTTTACCACTCAACAAGCAATACCTTTCCTACACGTGACCAACCAATTGAAACTAAAATCTATAAAGTATCTTTCTCTCCCTCTCTTCTTTTCTTTTGTGTGTGTGTGTGTGTCTATATATATATATATATATATATCACCAATCCTCAAATAATTCTACACGTGACCTACCACAATTTTAGATAAATTAAATAATAAATTAAGATATAAGTTTGAAGCTAGATCTTTCAACCTCGATAACTTGTGCTCCACTAATCCAAATTAACTTTTCCTCAAACCTAACATGCATGATAAATTACGATCTTTCCAACGGGCCTAATATTCATATACTTATCGTCGCTCCGACAACATCTACATTTTAACATCCGATAATATTGAAATTTACTTTTTATATATTTTAGTCCCTAAACTTTCAAAATATTAAAATATAGTACACATAAATTAAATTCTAATCTAAGAAACTTTGGGACATTACAAGCTGCATAATCGGCGTTGAGCTCATTGCAACAACCAATATTGTTAAGCCCTGGCTTGCCAATAAGGTGATCGCGGAAGGTGAGGTTGAAATCACCTAGAACGAAGAAAGTATCCTCAATGCGATTTCAATGAGCCGACGTCAAATGTGGCTGCCAAGGGTGGCGTCCAGGTCGGCAATCACCGCTAGAATTGGATAGGTTGATTGACCTCAACAAATGAATCATTTTCCTGATAATGAACAGTTTTATTTTCACCAATAAAATTTATTTTAGACATGGAATTGGATAGGTTGATTGACCTCAACAAATGCATCATTCTCCTCTTTTTGCAACTCTTATAAAGTTAACTCATATTTTGTATTTCATTTATTAATCAAAGACACTTCATACATATGCTAAAAATTTAACCCAACTCTCTTGTAATAGAAATAAATAAAAACCTATTATATATCAATAACCTGTTTTTCTCTGATCTTAGCACATTGAATCAATGTGCTAATCTTCATTCTATTTTACCTCTTCATCTACTAATATATCAATGCTAGATCAGAGAAAAATAGTACCCAAAAAATGTGGATTTTCTATGTATATTGTTTTGGTTAGCAAGACAAAACAAAATTTTATGAAAGAAAGAAAGATATTATTAAGCAAAGTCAATGTTATGGTCGAATACCATATAAAAAATCTATACATAGAGTTTCTCATCCAAATAAGACTTCAACTATTCTTAAAGGAAAAACAATTCCTCTTCTGTACTCAATATATCGAAGCAATGGAAAGAAAATAGTCACGAAGTTAATAAGGATTTTAAGACAAACATTAACAGTAGTCCTTTTTTTTAACATAAAAACTAAAGGTCAACTTACAAAAATACCCTTAAAGTTATGGGTGTTTTGAAAAATCATATGAAAAATTTTTTGGAAGTAAAAAAATACTATTAAAATTAAAAAGTGACATTGTGTCACTTTTTTTAATATAGTTCAGAAAAAGTGACACAAACTCAAAAAAAGTGACAAAATTCAAAAATAAAGTGATACAAACACTCCAAAAGTGATAGAATTAGAAGGAAAAAAAAAAAGAAAAGGTGACAGAATGTCACTTTTTTTTTTTTATAAAAATTGTCACTTTTTTTAACACAAAAAAAAGTGACGCAAACTCAAAAAAATGACAAACTCAAAAAAAGTGACAAAATTAAAAAAAAAAGTGACAAAAACTAAAAAAAAAAATGACAAACACCAAAATAACACCATCCATTTTGTTTGCCTAACATTTCATATAATTTTCCACCGATCAGGCGATCACCATCTCACATTACAACATTTTCACTAAAAAAAAAAGTGACAAATTCAAAAGAAGTGACAAAAAAATTTTTAAAAAAAAGAAAAAGAAAAAAAAAGTGACGAATTCAAAAAAATGACACAAAGTAAAAAAAGTTACACAAATTAAAAAAGTGACAAACACTCAAAAAGTGATGAAATTTTTTTTTAAAAAAGTGACAAATTCAAAAAAAAATGACAAATCATAACCAACAATTTTCAATATAGCCAAATTATCCAATAAGTTCCCAACTGATGAACAAATTAAAAACTTTTAAACTAACAACTTGAACAATATAATCATAATACAAAAACTTAAAAATATCCAAGTTTCCAATAAGCTCACAACTAACGAAAATTGATGAACTAAATTAAGATGTAAATGTTAAAAAATTTCATAATCACTTATCACTGTAAAAGTGACACGATGTCACTTTTAAAAGTTAACTGTCACCTTCATTAAAAAGTGATGCTTGTCACTAAAAAAAATGATAGAAATCAAAAAGACAACTAAAAAGAGTGATAAACATTAAAAAAGTGATAAAAATCTAAAAGAAATGATGAATTCAAAAAAGTGACAAAAATTAAAAAAAGTTGCACAAATTAAAAAAGTGACAAACACTCAAAAAGTAACAAAAAATTAACAAAAACTCAATGTCACTTTTTTTTTATTAAAAATGGCATACAACGTCACTTTTATTAAAAAAACTGATATTTGTTACTCAAAAAAGGGTAGAAATTAACATTTAAAAGAAATTCTTATAGACAAATTAAAAGCTTAGTCAAAGACGTATTGCTCAATTAGAAATTGACACACATTTTAATAAAAAAGTGGAACAACATGCTAAGTCACTTTTTAATGAAAGTGTCAAAAAATGCAAATTTAAAAAAAAAATGTATAAACACCATTACTCTTTATCAGAGCTTGTTAATCCTGTACAAATCATCTATCATTGAACATTTTCAATACAATTTACAAGTTATCTTTGTCTCAACAAATACGTCTTCATCTCCTTCTCCATCAAAATATCACATATGCCTTCATTTGACACACAATCATTCTCTGTATCATAATCCTCATCATCTCTATCCATCTCTCTTCCTGTGACTTTAAATATGGAAGCAATTCAATAAAGTGACAGAAATTAAAAAAGTAACAAAAACTCAAAAAAGTGACAAGCACAAAAAAAAAGTGACAAATACTCAAAAAAGTGACAAATAAATCAAAACACTAGAATAGGTCCAATGGATGGTTGATTTTCTCTTATATGTTATCTTTCTGTAAATATATTTTTACTTCTATTAACTAACATATTAACTTCGATTTGGAAAACAAAAATTCAAAAAAGTGACAAAAACTCCAAAAAGTGAGGAACATTTAAAAAAAAAAAAAAGAAGGAAAAAACAGTTCATAATATTAAGCTGACTATGACTAATTTTTAATTAAACTATGTTTCATTTGCAAATGGAAATGAATTGAGACAGGTGCCTAGACAAAGCATCAATTCTGGTTGACAATGCAAATCACACCCCATGGACAGTTTGTAGTTTGTACAGTGACACAAGTCGAAGAAGTTAAGCCTCTTACAAGAATGTTGCCAATCATAGCTAGCGCAATCCTACTGAACACTTGTATGGCGTAGTTCCAAACATTTTCAGTACAACAAGGCTCCCTAATGGACCGAAGACTAGGCTTCTTCCAAGTTCTTGCACCTTTGATATTATAGTTCAAGAATCTTCAACATTAGCAACATATGGGCGATTGCCAACTAGAACTGCCATTGAAGTTGTTGAACTATCATCCCTTAAAGTATCTTTGGCTGGCTCCAAAAGAGTCTCTGTCAGTTTGTTGATATGTTTCACCTATGATGTTATAAATGTATTAGGTATATTAGTTATATATGAAAAAGAGGAACAAATAGTCAGTTCCTTATTAACAATTCATCTTCAAAGACTTTGATGTTGCTTAACATGCAGAGCAGGGTAAAATATTTCCATTCCACGAACAGCAAAAGCTATGTTGGGGGCTTGGTTATTGCTATTTTTTTTATCTAATTAAATAAATTACCAACTACAACAGCTACTAAAGTTATCCTTTCGAAGGAAACAAAAAATATCATGTCCCTGATGGGCCCTCAACTCCAAATGATTTTTCAACCATATTCCATTTATAATCCCTGAGATGAGCAACATGGGAATGCAAAAACGATATATTTAATCAAATAATCAAAACCAACTAATGTAATCAAAAGTAGCAAGTTTGTTATGGATGTTGGATGACATTTCATTTGAATTAGGCTACTTAACTTGCCTAAGCTATAGCCGGTGTATTAGTTTTGGCTACAACACTATTTCCTTCAAATCGATGAAGGCACCAAAACATGTACTCTTTCCCACTCCTAGTGTCTACATAACAACCTCCAGCCTAACTCAATCTTGTATTGCCTCCCACCGTCCCTCCATGCCCTCTATACTCTCAATAATCCCATAAAACCCAAATCATTGTTAGAACTCTTCAATAAAATACCCCATTTTTCCTTAAAAAAACAAAATCAAAAAAATGCCTATAAAATAATGCTTCTCACTGACTAGTTTGTATATATATTTCAATTTGCAGAAAACAAATGGCAATGAACAAAACCAGAAGTCACATACGAAATATATAAACAAGAAAGGAACAAAAAATAAAACATACATACAAGAGGGGAAACTAGAGAAATTAATGCTACCTTGATTTTATAAGATTTCTTCTCCTTTAAAGATAGTTCTTCATCAATATTTTTTTTTTCATCTTCAATCTACTTTTTCCAGCCAACGCAGAAATAGGAGTCGAAGTCAGTTATCAGAGTCAACATTCGAGTGAGTAAGTCGGAATCAGATTCAGATTTCTGAATTTTGATCGGAACAGGTTGGGGATTAGACTATTTAAGACTTTTAGGGTAAATGTTTAAGATCTCCGCCAAATTAGAAGGAGAAGATGAATGGAGACGGAGGTGTAGATGCGAAATTGACAGAAAAAGAGTCAAAATGGAGATTTAAAGCTGAGTTTTCTTAAAGATGGTGAAATCGCCTCTGGATGTTGAGAGAGTTTTCTAGCAATGAGAAATGGGTATTTTCTATCATATTACTCTAAGGGTTCGAGTTTTACTTCATTGTTTAGATTAGGACGTAATTTTTACTTCATTTAAATGTTTAATTAGTTTAGAAGGTATTAATCAAAATACTTATTTTTACAGGGTACAATGCCTAATTTCCTCAAAACTAAATAGCAGGGTCCATTTTGACCCAAGATCACCTGGGCAATAGCCTTGGGCCTCAAGTTATAAAGTGTCTCAAAATAATTTTTAAAGTCCAAAAGCAATTATTATTTGCAAAACCTGTTTACATTAAGAGCTCGTTTGGTGCACATTTTTTCATCAAAAATGCATTTTAAACATCACATCATGGGCCCTACCTTAGAGTGTTGAAGTGAAAAATTGTAGGCCGATTTGATGGAAAAAATGTATTATTTTCCTAAATAATGTACACCAAACGGGCTTTAAATATTTTCATGAAGACGTAGTAGTGCAAATAAAGTAAAAGGTTGTCTCTCTATGCAATAATTCTTTTAATTTTTGTTCTTAATGCTGCTTTTGAATTTTCTATTTTTAATATAGGATTATATTGGAAAATAAATTGTAAGTCACCACCACAATACCTCACTAGTTTCCAAAAATCCTTTATATTCTACTTCTTGAACATGAAAATTGATTCTCGGGCAAATCAAACTATGAGTGAATACCACATATATAATGTTCGTTATCACGAGAAATTCTTTGAATCGGCCATGTTTGATGCTAATTACGCTTGTAAAAAAATTTGTGTACAATCTTAGGGCAACTCCAACCCTTGCACCATTGCACCAAATTGCACCAAAATTTGGTGCAAACTTCCTCCAACCATTGCACCATTGCACCAAATTTTGGTGCAAAAAATAGTGTAATGAATAGTATTGCACCAAATATGGTGCAACACTATTCATGTTGCACCATTTTGCACCAAATGGTGCAATGTCCATTTTACCCTTATTTTTCTTTTTTTAAAGATAATGGTTAAGAACATTTGTGTCATTTTCATTCTATAATAATAATGATAATGATAATGATGATAATAATAATAATTACTTAATTAATTACACTATTAATTATATTATTAAAGTTTATTATTTTTAATAATATAATCAATAATAATTAACGTAATTGTTAATTTAACGAAAAGTTAAATTCGTAAAGTTTACATTTAAAATTAAATTTAATGTAAAGTTTATATTATTAAAGTTTATTATTTTTGTAAATTTAACGTAATTGTTTATCATAAATTAATAATATAATCAATTATTTTTGTCAATTTAACATAATATATATGACATGTGAAGTTTTAATTTAATGAAGTTATGATTTAGTAATATATATAGTTATAAAATAAATAAATAAATAAATAATATTTTAAAATAAATATATTGTTAAAAATCGAAAGAATGAATAAAATAATAAATCACTGTTCATTTGGTGTAAATTTTGGTGAAATGGTTGGAGAAGAATTTTGGTTTGGTGCAAGATTTAGTGCAAAATTTGGTGCAAAATGGTGCAAAATTTGGTGCTGGGTTGGAGATGGCCTTATGATAATTTATCGTCCAATGCCTCATTAGTTAAAGTAACTAAAGATGTATATTAAATTTTTAAAATAAAGTTTTGAATAATGAATTTTTGAAAAATGTGTAATTAAAAAATAAAAAAAATTGAATTTACACGTAGAATATTTAATTTTTTGAATATAGATTAAATCTAACTACGAGGAAAAATGAAATTTTGTATAATGATTGTCAAATGGAGCTATGAATCCACGAATAAATTTATTGTATTGTGAAATTTATTTTACATAAATAGGGACTAATCAGTGCTAAGTATCTTCCCATCTTTGCCCCAAATTTCGACGGGCGGGTCGGACATTTTGATATACCCTTTCGTACGAGGTAAGTCAAAAGGTAAAGTTAACCGCTGCTCTCAGAGTTTTCCTTTTCATTTTCCATCGACCAGAGTAAAATTACAGAGCGGAAAAATGAATTCCCTGAATTTCATTTTCATCCTCTTCGTCTGCATCACTCTCTACTGTCCTCCACAGGTACTAAAAAATTCAATTCGCGTAGATTGAATCAAAAGCTCATTCACTAGAGACCCTGAAACCCCAATAACTTTACTGAATTTATACATTGCAGTCTTTTACTTTAGCGCAATCAGTACAACTCTCCGATCAAACTTTATCGCCTTTCTCCGTCGCCCTCGACAATCTCCAAATTCAAATCAAGTAACATCCTTATAATTTTACGCCTTTATGTTATTTTTATTATATTTATTGAATTCTGCTATATTTCTCAAAAACTTGCATTTGGATTCATATGTTTTAGATATGTGCATCCATGTCTCCAACTCGTGAAAATACTTCGGCTATTTGAGATTGTTATTTAAACGATATAAGATTTTGGAATGGGTTCAATATGTTATCATAGCAGAAGCTTCTGGGGTAATTCTTTTTGCTTTCCGCCATCCATTTAAATAAATTGTACACATGATAGAGTTTGTCGAGAAAAAATGAAACCTTCCTAGTCCTACGCATGACTTAAGCTTCTAGATCAACTGGTTGAATACAGAGAAACACGTTGATTTATTTAATTTGAGTTTTAAGCACGCATGTTTATTGAGTTGAATTGAGCTTTCAGCATGCAGCTTATGTTGTGGTCCTATTCATTTTTTATCAAAGGCATGGCACGTATACATCTATCATAAGTGAAGAGCTGCAAGCCTTGAACCCATGTCGTTTTCATGCTCTAATAGCTGGTTCTATATTTATCTATTTAAATTAGTGATCAACATTCTGTATATGTATGCTGTTACATTGCTTCTATATATTTGTGTATATAGTGTAATCTTGTATCATGATTAAAATGTCTCTGTTGTATTCTTTTTTTGGTTTTTTCTTATTTTAGCTATACATTTGAGAACATTGGATTATTGCGACGAGCAATGACTCATGCATCGTATTCAGAAGAGAACAACAAGGCATTGAGTGTTTTGGGAGTCAGATTGATTGAGGCTTCTGTTGCACTCCAATTGTTGACCAAAAATGTGGATGCTTCATCTAAGGAGTTGAACAGCCGGATAGTCGAGATAGATAATATCGCTACGTCATGTGCTTTGGATGGGACTCACCTGGGTTTGCAGAATATAGTTAGAGTTTCGTTCAAGACCAGTTCCATGGCTCCTGCTGTGGTATGTGGTGCTTTTCGTGCAATATTTGGGGCAATTGCAGTAGATACTGGGAGTTTAGACGAGGGCGGAAGGGTGTTCTGGAAAGTTCACAAGGGAGGAGTCGGGAGAGCAATGGCTATGTAGGTAAAATTGTGATATTGCATTAAGTAAGTTGTGTAACATTGTGATATTGCACGGCGTGGCTTATGTTTGTGAACGATGTTGATTGAGCTCATGATTGATTCAAGTAGAGACTGAAGAACAGTAGTATGATTATGATAAGATATGTATATGTCTAGCTGTGTTAACGCTATAGGATATTGTGAATTCTATGTATTTTTATTACTACTATGGTTCAAACAGAAGTGCCTTCAATGAAATGGATTCTCAGATCTCTTGATAAGTAGGATAAATTCCTTGATTGATCTGGACATTAGTTGTGTATTTCAAATAGAGTTTAGCTATATTAAGCTATGTGCATAAAGTGACGGGTTAAAACTTACAGTTGTGCTATATGTACAACTGGGGATTGTCAACCCCGGTTGACAATTAGATACATGGGAGGGGGGCCCACGTTGAATAAAAAAATCACGAATCCCCTCTCCTGTGAATACATTGTCAATTGGGGTTGTCAACCCCTGTTGTACAAAAAGAATAATTCTAAAACTTATGCAGTTATTCTATTACTTTTTTCATAGCTGACTAGCCTTGTCGCCCTGACTTGTTTACCGTTAAGTGGTTCAACGCTGTAAGCTCTCTTCCAACATGTTTGATAAGAGTTGGTTACTTCCCAAAAAAAAAAAAATAACTTTACAAAAGCTAGAAGCTTTTTAATCATTTAATCAGTTAACGCCCACAATTCGTGTGTCGAAGTTGTGGATACCATGTACGTTAAATAATCCTTTATTTGTGTGAACTTATGTGATATCAGCTTTTTATAGAGGGAAGCTGTCGTCTGAAAACAATATCTTGGAAAGGCCTTAAAACACTTTTACCATAAACTTGTTCAAAAAAAAATAATAATAATAAATAAATAAATAAATAATATTATTAAATTACAATATTAAAACATTTTTCACTAGTTGGAACAATTAGGGAATGCTCTAGAAAAATTAGGGCATCCGCTCGCAACATGCTCGGTCCTGTTTATGGGATCAAATCAATACATTCTAAAAGGAAATTTTGAATATCAATCTCATTGATCCCATACTAAATCCTATCAATGGAATCGCTATTTTAAGAAAGCCCAATAGTATGGAGTATTGACCACACCAAAGGACAGGCACAGAAGCGAAGGGAACAAGCAGAATTTATGTGTTCCAATTATTTGGCCTAGCATTGACCATCAAATGGATCATGGACTAAACAGTCACTGCCAGAAAGGTACATCTCGTGCCTATGTGCTGCACCCCCCCCCCCCCCCCCCCCCCGGGGGTACATCTCAGGCCTTTGTGTTGCTATAACTATTCAAAGTAAACTATGCCATAGTTCTAGGAAAAAATAGAATAACCTTTAAACAAAAGGGAAAATGTACCCAAAAATCAACCGGGCAGGTATACCTAGGGGTACGAGAGAAACCCTCTCTAAGGAACTTGGCAAAATAGTCCCGTAATTTCAGGAGAAGCAGAGAAGGTGTGTCTCCTCACAAAGGGGGTCGAATTTCAAAGTAGAATGATCTAATTCAAATATTTCACTCAATTGTGCATGTATAGCATATTTTTCACCATTTGCATGATCACTATAGTGGATTCCATTGAGTTTGCTGCTGTAGATCTCAAAGTTACACCTATTTGGTTAACACTATACTTCGCTTTTGCCTTTCTAATAGGAACACTATCTCTAATAATTCAGTCTCCATCTACCAAAACAATTGGAAATGTTTCTAAACAAGTAGGCATACCAGGTAGAAATAGTTAATGCCCTTCTTTATCTCTAAAGATAAGAGTGTTCTAACCATCAGCCAAGCCCATTCGTGAGATCCTTACAAGGCTTAAGAGTAGAAAGTCTTCAATGTTTCCGAACACAATCTGTTCTGACATGCTATGCTTGTGGTATCTTCGGATTTCCACCATATGATTTCCTACCCTTGTTAATATTTTTCTGTCAATTTCTTGTCTAATAATGGGTAAAATGGTAGATGCTTGATGATGACTTCACAAGAAAGCGTTTTGTGTAATTCATGTAGTGTTACATATGTTATGAGGTAATACATTTCTTCCTCTACTTCATACTGGGATATGAATAAATAGGTGGTTGGTTGACCTCGTGGACCACTGTAAAAGAGCTTTTGTTTTTTTTACCATGTGTGTTTTATAGTTATTCCATATTGTTCCTATTACAATATTATGAGATTCCAACGTCCATTTGGAATGGATAACATTCAGATCAATGCTATTTTCACCCATTTAGAATAGCCAAACATTTCCAGGGAAAGAAACTATTGTATTAAAGCAAATTCAATGCAAGCTTATGGTAAGAGCTCTCATGGTACGTATAAATCGCCATGGTACGTATTAATCTCATAAATCTTAGCGATTTATAGGTACCATGATGATTTATTTTCAACCCAGTTACCTCCTGCATGATGATTTATTTAGATGCTCTTATGAACAACGATTTTCCGTTGGGAATAATTATTTTATGTTCAAGTCGAACACTTCTATTCCGACTGACTCTGGATAGAATCTAATGAACTTGCAGTGATATAATATTTTCAGCTTTCCTTTGGACCTGAAGCCTTAGCTTGGATAGAGCGAGTTGATGTTGTGCATTACTTAGTGTACGTTTGGTATAGCTTTCTTATAGTTATAAATTGTGGATCCTATGAAATATGTGGATGACAATGATGTTTGAGCAGCATATAATCGGAAAGATACTTTGCCATACATAACCTCAATTCATTTTCCGATATTTTAGTTGTAAGGTGTCGATCTATTTACTGTTTATGCTTGGAAACACTTCAATGTGTTTATGATTGTCATAGAAGTTAGGTAGATGTCTTGTGCCTAATTCGGTAAAGTGGAATTGATTCACAATGTCGATTTTTTTGTGTAATTTGTTAAATCAGCGAGTGACTGTGCCAATTGCCAACTTGATTTATGTTTGTATGTGATGTTGTGAGGTATTTTAGGTGCATAACCAAATCATACAATGTTAATGCAAGAGTTATAGCTTTTCCATATGATATGGACATTTTTGCAATATTTGTAATTTTAAACATAATTTCCTTTACTAGTGGTTGAGCTGAATTACCATGATGTAAAAATATGTTCTTATGTGCTTTCATTGTAAGTTGCTTTTTTCGTCTTTATATTATTGGTTAGAAGGGTAGATCTAATGTTGATATTACGTTCGGTATATTTTACTGGGTTAAGGTTAGGATTAAGGAGAACTATGGTGTATTGTTCTAATACGATGCTTTTGAATTAGAAAAAAATGTACTAGTACGGAAAAATAATGA